AAATGAAGAAAACATTTGCAAGTAGACCTCTGGGGCAGGGGAAGGTGAATTATTACAAAGAAAACTCCATCCAAATATAAAATGGAATAAAACTGATGTTGATTGTCACAGTACACATGGACAGGCTGAATTTCAATATCAAAAGGCAGACTGTCAGATTTTGTTTGAAAAGTAAAGTTCATCTATAAATTATGAAAATGCATACAAAGCAAGGGAACTAAACTGTATTAAACATGAAGTGATGAGAAAAGATGCACCGGAGAGATTCAAACATAAAGGCAGGACGATATTAGTATCAAAGTAGAGTTCAGGGCCCTTTGTTGGGGGCTAGGGAGATAAAAACCTGACTCGTCAAGGCTACTAAGGAGGCCAGGATTGGAGAGGTCAGATTTTGAAGGAAAGGGAAGAGCAGAACTGGAAGACGATGGTATGAGCCCTCTTTCTCCTTGAGGCATATTTCAATTGGTGAGCCAGGCTCAGGGACTAGCGAGTCTGTGGCAGTTCATGGGGCTGGGGATATAAAAACTGCAATTCGAAGCTCACAAAATGGAGAAYACACTGGATTGTCATCTGGGATCATGAAGGAGTCCAGTGTAGAGGTGAGGGTAAACTAGAGATAGACCAGCTCTTAACAAAAATCCTGTTTAAAATAAGTTCAATCCCTGATTTGATTAAGGGGACCTATATTTTCTGTGTCTGTTAAAGCTACAGGATGCCTCTCTGGAAAAATATAACATCAACAGGATCAAATATTTAATTWAAAAAATTACCATCCCTGTCACTGTTAGAATCCAGGTGAGGGGGAGACCCAGAAAATAGAAATCCCCAGGTAATTCGGATATCCAGAAACCTGTGATTAATATTTAAGAAAATAGATGAAAACATAGAGAATTATTACAAGAAAACTGAAATCTGTAAGAAGCAAATGGAAAAATCTGGACTAGGAATATAATGACTGAAATTAAAATAGATGAGTCTAGCAATAGTGTAGAAGAGAGGATTAATAACCTAGAAGAAAAGTCAGCAAAATTATCTAGACTAAGGCAAGAAGAGAGGGGCAAAAGGTGGGGGGAAATGGAGAAAGCTGAGTCACAAGAAACTTGGGTAAAATTTCWACCGCACAAACTGAAGTCCCAAAAGTGAGGGTGAGAAAGAACGGTCAGAAGTAAAAACAAAAGATACTGGTCAAGGGATTTCCCAAAGAGACAAAAGACAAATGTGAGAATCAACACAAACCCAGTGTAGGCTAAAAACAAAACTAACCCACACCTAAGTACATCGTCGTCAAATTGCTAAAATACAAATTCTAATGCAGCCAGGGGTAGTGGTTGTTAGGGAACAGCAAGAAGACTAACACCTGGGTTCTAACAAAGGAATATAATTTAGAAATTTTGGAATACTACCTAGAAAGTGCTGAAAAAAGACTGCCAACTTTGAGTTCCAAGCTGAGCAAAAATGTGCTTGAAATGAAGTCAAAATAAAGATGTCTAAAGTAACGAAAACTGATGGAGAAAAGAAGAAAAAAACCCAAACACCATGATGTTCTAAAGGAAGTTCTTTGGCATAAGAAATATGAAGCCAGGCAGAATCAYGGAAATGAAAAAGCAACAAGACAATACGTGGGAAATAAATATGTATCAATAGAATGGCTGTGATGCCATTTTATGGGTTTTAGAAATGCACATACAGAAACCAGGAAACAGCACAGCATCGGGATACGTGGAGTTAAAAACGTTCTAAAGGCTTTACATTTACAAGATGTGTTCAAGGAATTGTTTTAGCTTCTGAGATCAAAAAGGTATGTTATAATCACTAAAGGAATGTAAAAGAATGAATAGCTAACAAGTTTACAGGAGGGGATTATGAATGAACAATTCCTGATTAGTCCAAAAGAAAGCAAGAATGGAGAGAGATTGGAATGTAGAACATCTGAGACCAGGAGAGGGGATTTAAATCTAATACTGACTTGGGTTGAATATAAAAGAGCTAAGTAATCCAATTAAAAGTAAGTTTGACTGGATAAAAAACAAGCTTTATTTTGTACAGGTAACACATTTAAAATTAAAAAAAAGCCACAACTTGAAGGCGATAAGATGAAATAAGATATATCCAAAAAAATTGGATAAGAAATTAGCTAAATAAGAATTTATSAAGAAAACTGAGTTTTGATTATATMAATAGATGATGAAGAAGCTCTAATTATTGGTAATAAAAAATAAGTGAGACCACATGCAAATAGAAATGCTATATTTTTATGGTGTCATAAAGGAAATCCTACCATTTGTGGTAACAGATGTCCCTTGAGATCATTATGCTAAGTGAAATAAATCAAAGATACATACTGCATGATCTCACTTGTAATTCAAAGCCTAAAAATGTTAAATTCATAGAAACAGAGGATAATGGTAGTTGCCAGGGGCAGATGAAGGAGAAGCAGGGAGATGTGGGTCAAAGGGTACAAACTTGTGAACTTCAGATCTAATGTAAAGTATGGTGACTAAGCTAATAATATGGAACTTGTTCTTGCAATTTGTTTAAATGTTGTAACCACAAAAGAAAAGGTAACTGGGTGAGATGATGGAATTGTGGTATACTTAAATTTTGTGAAATGGTATCAATCACGTTGTGAAACTTAAATTCCATCAATTTGTAAGTTAYCCCTTAGTAAAACTAGAAAATTAAAAATTTCCAACTGGACTAAGGATCTAAATTGAAAACAGAGCAAACAAACCAAAAGACAAAGCCTCGAACAACAAACAAAATAACCATAGAAACAGAAATACTAGAAGAAAAAATTCAGGAAAATATTTGTGCTGAGCCTCTTCGGGCCCCACAGTAGAACTGATGTTTTCATTTTCACATTCCCTACCTGCTCCCTCTTCAGCCATATATGCCATAGACTTCTAGAATAAAGGCTGAGTAACTTGTTTTCTGTATTTCCTTAACTAACTTCTCCAACTGCACTKTGAGAGATTTTTGAATGTGTATTACATTCCTCAGATTTGCTTTAGAAAAGAAAAGCTTTAGTATGCCCAGTGCCAAGGACATAGCAGATATGTAATAAATTTTCTGTTGACCAAATGGATGAATGACCCTTGGCCAGCACCCCCATAACCATTCCTGCCTCCTGGGGTCATAGCCAGAAAGCCAGAAGTAGAATTCCTTTTTGGGTAATAGATAAAGCATAGGCTTTGGAGTCAAACTGACCTGAGTTGACTCCTGTTTATAAATAATATGTGCAATAGGTGATTTTCTGTGAGATATTTACAGATGTTTACTGGGTCTATAGTCAATGTTAAAAAACTGTTAGCTTTATTAATGGTACTACTATGAAGCTTGACTAAGATGAGGGAGTTGGTATGGCTGAGGATAAGAGATGGTAGACCCTCCCAGTTTGTCTCACCAATGGGATAGTGTATGGGGTAAAAGTAGAGTAACTTTACTAATTACTGCTTCATTTGCCTTATACCTGACCCACCTTGCTCATCCTATCTCCCTCTCTGACAATCTGTCTCAGTGGTCCTCAACCCTGGATGTACATACGAATCATTTGGCTGCATTCTGGACCAATTAAATCAGAATGTTCTCCACGGGGGCTTATATGTGCGACTTGGATTGGAAATTATTGCTCTTTCACTCTTGTTCCTAGTAGAATAAATCCTAGATTGCAGAGGCCCAGAAACCACAGCATTTTCCTGGAGCAAAAATTATTTCCTAAGGAATGTGGTTACCCATAGCAGAAAGAGCAGGGTTTGGTGCTAGAAGCTCAGAGTCCTAGTTGTGGCACAAGTTGAAGGTGTGACTCAGAAACCCACAAGACCTCTGTCTTCTGGTTACCTAACTTATCAAGTAAGCGTGATAGAATTTTCTACCATAAACCATAATGTGTAGTTCAAATTGGAAAACGGATACAACTTTTCAAAAATTTGGTAATTACTCAAATGTAACTTGTTACTGTTCTCATCAGAATTTAAGAAAATTCCACTGCACATCTTACCACCTGTGGGGCTATGCAGAAATTAACCCAGTTTCTTCATCTATGAAATGGAGATATCTACTCTGCTGATTGCATATTAGTTCCCACTGCAGGAAAAAATGGGAACTAAATATATGAGGTTGTATTGTGTGCTGGCTGTTATTGATTGGTATTTTGTGACAAAGTTGCTTCTTTACACAAGTTCTTGAATTTCAACTTGCCATCAAATCCCATGACCTCTCATGGAAGTAGGTACTGGCACTCATATGACCTTAAATATATATGGCATTTCCATCTCAGGAGCTTTGAGACTTTGTAACAAGTCTCAGGGAATCATTGGTTTCAAATCAAGCTKGCTGAAGTGATGGGTACAATTGATATTGCTGCCTGGGAACTRTCCCTTCCGTTTCTATTACCTGGGATTTCCTGACTTAGGTTGATTACATACATTCACTTCTTGCCAGTATTGATCATCTGTCACACACCTAACTAAAGTGGTCTGTGGTATAAAAATGGAGACAGGCCAAGAGGAACTGAGCAGTCTGAAATGCATGGTTCCTAAACAAGTCCTGCCATTTCTCTCTGTCCTCACCTCCCTCTGAGTTGTAGCCTGGTACCTTTCTCCTGAAGCCTTATGTTCTCTGGTATGGGCATCTGTACACTTGTATTGACCATAAGTCCACTGATTATAAAGTTAGAGGTTTCTGGTAGATTCAGAATTCTGAATAGTGAACTTGAAAGTGACAATTGGGGAATAYAGCACAGCTATTCCTGATTTTGTCCCTATTGTTATTTTTATTCTTACCTGGGCAAAGCAATATAAATAATATTGTCAGCCAGTGACATAAACAGATTTTCTTTTCCTATAGCAAATCTGATAATTACTATGTTAGGACATAATCTTGCAACACCCAAAATAATAGATTCAGCACGATGTCGGGTTTCAATGCAATGAAACAGAACAAGTCTCCCAAGAAGGCATGAACTGTCATTTCAAGCAAGACTGGCAGATGCTCCTGCTTACCTACAGATATGGTCCAAACAGCAATGATTTTCAGAAATGCCTTAGTTCTGGAGTTAAAGCGGCTGTGGTGGATGGGATTCTGGATGGCGACATATCGGTCCAGGGAGATGGCACAGAGGTGCATGATGGAGGCCGTGGAAAAGAGCACATCCAGGTAAATCCAGACCGCACAGAGCTTGCTAGGCAGTGGCCACCGATACCCTACAATACAGAAGCTTAGCATCAGTTAGCAGCCTCATACCTCTTGAGGCAATAGTTTCCAGTTTGGTGACAGGCACAAGTGGTGGCATGGGATGATACAAGAAAATTTCAGTATCTGAACAAACTCTAATACTGTTTAACTGCAGTACTGCTGACCTGGTTGATGAACATGAGGTTTGAACATTTCTGGTGTCTAGATTATCAGTGTGGTATGGCTAACTTGGATGGTTACTCTTTAGGGATTCTCCCCTGCTCTATTCACCTAGCAAAACTACTTTTTCAAATGAATTATGTTCAAAGTTGTGATGTGTTTTGAGTTCCTCTATTTGGGTACCTCTCACACTGTACTATCATTATATTTTTCTTCAGGGTTTAAGTCCTAAGGTTAGTCTCGTATTATTATCCTAACTATCATCTAGTCTCACAGGAATAGCAATAAATGGTATTGGTGTAAGTGGCTAAATGGTTAGAAATCCAGATGTGGACTTTATTTGTTAAAAAAAATGAAAAATAATTGTCTACTGATACTTTGGTGTTAACCTCAAACATGGGGAAACTTGTGTCCTTTCTCTGAGCTTTGTTTCAGGGCAGTAGTTCTCAAACTTCTGGGAACAGGTGACTCTTTTAAGTGCTTCTTAGAACAGGGACTGCTGGACCCACCTCTGGAGGTTCTGATCCAGTAACTCTGGAGCAGGCTGAAAAATTTGCATGTCTACCCAATTCCCAGGTGATGCTGCTGGTCCAAAGACCACACTTGGAGAACTCAGACAGCCATTCTTACTCCTGGATGTCACATTAAAGTCAGCTGGTGAGCATTAGACACGACTCTGGCTCTGATGCTCAGGCCAAACAGTTGAATTAAATAATTCTCTCAGAAGGATGGCCAGAGGTGGGCTACAAATATTCTAAGGGCTTTAGATCTCCCTGGAAGATTGCAATCCAGGCACCACTGCAGGCTATCTCCTGTGTTAGGAAGATAGAGGACGCCTTATGAACACAAGCAAAGTGTCCGTGTTTCTGTGTGTTCTGGAGGGAGCAAGTGGTTATATAAAGCGTTAATTAGTTTTGCTAACAGTATAAGCAGTGTGCATGAGAGAAGGAAAATTGTAATAAAGATCGCTTTCCTTTATGCTACCACAGACCAAAAAGCTGAGCAAACTCTCCATATGTGAGCTTACTGTCTACCAAGAAGCCACAAGGGATATTTAGAAAAGGAAAGGGTGCAGGACAGAGCTTGAGCATAACAAAAGTCTTCTTTGGAAGAGCCCCAGCTAGGGAAGCAGGCTCTGCCTGTTCCCAACTGATGTTGGCTCTCAGAGCGTTTTTTTTTTTTTTTTCTTTTTTCCTGGAAGGAGGCAGCCACAGCCACGGACCTTAGTTTGGTGGGACATACCCTTTGGTGGGACTGCTGGGCGCCCCGCAGGTTGCCATAGGCATAGGGACCAGTCTGGGGTTGGGGGCAGGACTCTGGGCCGAACCAGCCATGAGCCCAGCAGCTGCCGCCAGGGGGCGCCCCTGCACCCTGAGCCAGTGGTGCCAGTGGTCGCCTTCCAAGCCCAGCTAGAGCGCTCCCGCCCATCCTGCGGGGGCGGCGGGGGCRGGGAGTAGGAGGGATGCACCGGGCTGGGGGCGGTCACCCCCCTCTTGCCGAGGTTCCTGCACAGTCACCCTCCTCACCTCCCGCCCCCACTGGATTTTGCCTTTGAGCGTGGGGCGGGGTTTTAGAAGTGAGAAGTCCTCCAGAATGTCTGGGAAATGACAGGCAAATTTAATGAAATTATTTAGGTGTGACATTTGCATGGTGAAGCGGGGGTTAGCCTTGCAGTGATCATTAGTGACCCTGTACAAATTGATGCCTGCTCTTCCTTGCTTACCCCCTTCATACTGTTCAGGGATAGATGAATTTTAAAAGAAAAATTAGACTTTAAACTTGGCTAGAAAATCTCCTCTCACAGGCACCTCATTAGCCAATCTCTAAGGTCCAGCTGATTGCCAATGTGCCAGTGTCGGCAGCCTCAGTGTTCTCTTTGGCTCTCTGTTTAAGGAGAAATCTGGCTGTACCATTCATATTTTGGAAAGAATATCATTCTCCCCAATGAAGCCGTCCCAGTGTTTGCAGACTTGCAGAGAGGTTTGACTGTGTCAAACTCTGTTGAGAAGAAAGCAAGATTAATCTCTTTCCATTTGTTTTCCACCCTCCTCCAAACCAGACTGGAGGAGTTTTATGCATATGCATTTTTAAAGAGTTGAGGGTATAATTCAAAGGCACTTTTCCAAATTAGCTTCTTTGGGCAGGCAACAATTAAAACTGGAGTAATTCATTTATTCTAATGGAGACTTTGAATGTTTTAACATTAAACCCACTCCASCACTAATGTTCTCTCTGCAAATGTTCCAAGGTAATTGGGAAGGTTTTACCACTCCATTAAGAAGTGCTGAAAACTGTGTGACAAAGATAAAACTGTTCTGTCCTAAGTCTGGAATAATTGGATGGGAATGTAAAGGATTAAGAATCAAGTGGATTCAGAATTTGGGGTAAGTTATTGCTTGATGATGATATTGGGATATTTATAATCATTATTGCATACACCCCCATGTTTTAAAGCACAAACTTGTATCATTATCTTCCTACATAAAGTGTAAATAGAAAACACCAAAATGATCAGCTAATGTTGTCTAATGTTTGTTTTTCAAGCGAAACATCATTTTAAGGGTTAAAATTTAAGTAACTAGCATAACATGGTGATAGACCCTGGTCTACAAATAAACCTTCATATTTACAGTTCACCGGCTGAGCCCCTGCTCATCTGCTAACAGCATGCACATGCTCTTTGTGATCAGTATGGGTACAGCTGGGAAACTAATGCCACTCACCATACAGGATGGTTAACATGGACACGGGCATGACAAGGAAACCCAGCAGCATATCGGCTATGGCAAGTGACATCAGGAAATAGTTGGTGGCGTTCTGCAGCTTTTTCTCTAGGGACACTGCCATGATGACGAGTATGTTTCCAGCAATGGTTAGGATAATCACTACAGCTGTCAATAAAGCAGACCAGTTTTTTTCCTGGAGATGAAGTAAGGAGAAACATGTTGGTGGGAGGCACCCTTCACAGGAAAGGTTGGTTTGGTTTTCATACTCTATTGTCCARTTAAATGCATCAGAAGTATTTGCTTCTCCAGAGTTAAAGTCATTATTATAATGCCTTGTGTCATCGTTTAATTGCATTAAGGAGTTCGGAGTTGAGCTCAAAGAAGAATTTTCTTCACAGAGAATATCCATGTTGGAGTCGGAACTTGTAGCAGATGAAGTGTTGAAAGACTGACAAGTTATAGCCTCTGCTCAACGTTTATCTTTCTATCCCCGAGCTCTGTTGTGCCGATGCTGATGTACATGTGGGACTCCTTTGCAGTCTTTTTCCTCTCCCATTATTATGATAGTAGTTAAGAATGGCAATGCTCTTTAGATTGCTTGCCTTCACAATTTTAGTGGCGTCCTCTGTTGGGTTGTATTTTTTTTTCCACCAAAGAAGGGCAAAATAAGCAGAATGAACTTTTATCACAGAGGTTGCAGAGTTTTGAGAATTCAGGAAATCAAATGTGATCCTGGCCAAAGAAGAAAAGTTTTGTAACTACTAAGAATCTCTTTTGTTATATCTCATTTGATTGGATAGGCTGATCACCTAGTTTTAGCCACAGTAATGTTCAAATAGCATGCAATCCAAAACAGTGAGGATGTATACAGTCTACATTAGGAAAGTCCATTAAAATTGCATCCAGAGTTAAACCCATAGTAATGGGATATACTTTGGGTTATAGTTCTCAGTCTTAGGCTGAATTGCCGCAACTGCTATCAGGAATTTCAGCTTGTATTATGTTGCTTAGTTAACAAAAGGAAAAAGAAAAAGTCCTGAAGATTAGCAGACAACTTTCCACACCAGAAATTCTCATGGAAATGATTACATTTTGGCCAAGCATGATTTCAAACCAGAAAAGAAAATTACACGGCAATAAAATGAGAGCAGCATGAGAACTTACATTTGTCTTCAGGGGTCCATGCGGTAGACATACTTGGCTATTCTGTGCCTAGCTGCTTCTCGAATAGTAATGAAGCCGGTGTAAAATCCCCTCTTCCTGAGCTTCTAGCAGCATAATATGATAGTAATTTGATTTCTCTTTTGCTGACTTCAAAAACTGCATACAAGAGTCGAGCCAGTTCCAGCACTGTGAGGTCCGTGTTGGCTTCCTCTGCCACCGTTCGGCTTGGGTTCTCCCTCCCTGTGGGGCTCGCCTGAGCAGGCACACATTGATAAATCATCCACAAGCCCCTCTCAAAGTGACACAAAAGAACTGCACGGGAAAGTAGGAAGAGCTGTCTGCACCCAGGGGTTCCTGGTTTCCACGGGGATGGAGCTGCTCTCTGGCTGCCTCCTTCACTTCATCAGACCTCCCTCTATGTGTATGTCATAAACTGCAAGGTAGCAACAGCCGGGGAGGGCGGACCAAACAGGCTTTTTTTTTTTTTTTTTTTCTTTTTTGCTACATGTTAACATTGGGAAGTTTTTCTTTGCTTTAAAAAAGAAACGGGAGAAATGCTCTTTTGTGCAGATTCTTGATGAGGCAGGTAAGCCACACAGTGCTTAATCTTTTAGCTTGAAGGGTGAAGCAAGAACATAAATAAGGCTAGAAAATGGAATGTCCTGAGAGCTGGAAGCATACATCACTTCCATTCAAAGCCAACTGTGTTGGAGCCAAGTGGAATTACTTGACTTCCGCAACATGGGCTCAGGGTGGCAGGAAAGGCAATAACACTGATAAACTTATAGTGCTATTTTTATTTATGGCTAAATATGTACACCATTCAGCTAGATTATTTTTCTTCAGAAATGTACTACCCAGAAGTAGTTTAAAACTTCACATGTGATAGAGGATGAGTTTTTTTTTTTCCCCAGAAATAACACTAATGACAACATGCTTTATATGTAAGCTGTTTCCCAAGGAGTTTTTATTTGTTTGTTTGTTTTAATTTGTTTCCACGTTTTCCAAGTAGATTTTAAGGAAGGCAAATGTAGCTCTGTATTTTTACAGATGAGAAAATGGATTCCTGCCTGATAGTTGGGACTTTCTAGGTTTCTGACCATCTCTGGCATTTGCTTATTCTTTACATTCCCCTTAGACAATGCAACCATTCTCACGCCTTCAAAATGTTCGTGGCCAAATTTTGTACCTTCAAAGGTAATAATTTCCCCTCAGTTCCAGACCTAAATATCAGGTTGCCTTCTGGATGCTTCCATCTGCAGCCTAGTCCGTCATTCTCCCTTGTCCCACTTATATCTCTGGGATTATCTCCACCCCTTCTCCTGGTTCATGGAGTCACCTCATCATACAGCTAGCTGGTGATACTACATGACTCTTCCTTCCTTCTCACTGCCAGATCTCACTAAGGGTCCAGGGCTACCTCTGTATGCAAGTTTCCCCAATCTCGTCTCCAACCCACAGGTAGGTGGATGCTCTTTGATCGAGGGCTGCTTCATCTGCCTCCTGGGCTGCCCTGTGGCCATCCTCCTGCCCCACCACATCAAACACATGTGCAGTAGAGCAKGCAGCTGAGAACACAGCTCTGGAATCACACTTGTTTGGGTTTGAATTGCAGCTCTCGAACTCAAAAATAGGATACTCCCAAACAATCTGGTGGCTCCCTTTAAAGCTTAGCATTCTCCCTTTATACAAGGCAATAAAAGCAGTACCTTGTTCAGCGGATTRTAGTAAAGCTAGAATGAGATAAAATTTGCAAATATTTAGTTTGAGTCTGGCGTCTAGGGTGCTCTTGGTGCATGTTAACCATTGTATTTGTATTCGTATTGATATTATTACAAAATTCGCATCATCCCCTTGCCTCCATTCTTCCAGTCTCTTTCTTGGGGGCTGTATGATTCCTTTCTTAGTCTGCTATCTCCCCAGTGCCCTTACTTTTCAGGCTCTAAGTCTTGCTCCTCTCCTGAGCAGCCTACCTGCAGACTTGTGCATTTCTGGACATTTTTACGTCTGTGAACTTGCAGTTCCATGTGTCTGGAATGCTCTCACTGCCCCTCTCGGTGTCCATCTGGCAAATTCCTACTMAGTTTTCAAGGCTCAATTCCAAAGTTATCTCCTCTGAGAATCACAGACCCGCCACCTACCACATTTTTAACCTTAATTAAGCTTTTAACTACCTTTTGAGCTTGATGAAGGTATTTCATCTATATTTTAGTTTCTTCATTTGTATATAGGGAATGTTATTAATACTATCCAGGTCTCAGGATTAATTCGAAAGCTAAATCAATTGCTAGATGTGCCAGACACAGTTTAAGTACACAATAAAGGTTAGTTGCTATCGTTACCAAAGCCTATTCTCATCAAGTTGGCTATGGCTCATCTTCAAAAGCCCGTGGCATCTTGTGCTCTCTTCCATTGTAGTACTCACATGTAGCACATAAGTTCATCAAGGCAAGAGTTGTCTATCCTGTTCATGGTTGGTTCTTAGATATACTTGAATGAATGAATGAATGAACATATGGAGGATTTATGATGACCTGTTTACATGTCTATCTTCTCTTCCATAGGGWATTTCCTGTTCATCTCTATACCTTTAATATAAAGGCTGGTGTCTCAAAAAGTATGTTACTCAGCAGATATGCTTAGATTGAATTGTTGACAAAATTAAAAAGGAGAATTGGGGAGAAGTCTAGAATGTTTTTAAAAAAATTACTTTGTCCAATGTGATACTCAGAGGACAAAGGAATTTAAAAAAATATTTGTGTTAGACAATTACTGTAAATCTTTGTGGTTTTTTGTTTTGTTTTGTTTTGGTACCAGGAATCAAACATAAGGGTGCTTAACCACTGAGCTACATCCCCAGATCATTTTATTTTTTTTT